GCTTTCTTACTCTTCTTTCCGCCAAGACTCCCCTTCCGTCTGACCCTGACCTTAGTGCTTCCCCGGGGTTCTCCTGACCTCGAGGGTTGGGCGCTGTCGGGGCCTCCGACAGAGGATGTGGGCCGAGGCCTGGCCCGCTGTACCACTCAGGGTCACCTCGGTCTGGGCAAGGCTGCTCAATGCTCCCATGGGGCCCGGGCCGTGGAGCTCTCGGTGCAGCAGGCCTAGCACGCACAGCTGCCCCGCTGCGGGGCCGCCACCTGGAAGGACAACAAGAGTGGGGCGCAAAGGGCGGTGGGGAACACTCAGAGCGGAGGCCAGGGATGGGACAGTAAAGGAGGAGGAAGGAGGGGGTGCCCCGCGTTCCGTTGCTGCTCCGCCACAATCCTGACTTCCCTTGGTGAGGCTGGGACTGCGGAGCTGCAGCCCTCACCTCCTCAGAGTGAATGTGAGCCAGGCCTACTCTGACTTGGTCCTCGGGTCTCCTCGGAGCTCCTCCCTCAGGGCCTTTGGGACGGAGTTAACCCCTTCCTCTTCCAGTCTGCTTACTTTCCAGCCTCATCTCTTACACGATGAACTACTTGAGGCTTTTGGAACTTGACCCCATCCCAGTCAGTGCCTTTGACTCCCTCCCGTTGTCTCTCTCTTTTGCGGAGCGCGCGCACACACACGCGCTTAAAGAGCATCAGCACTGTGCTAGAAGATGCCTTTGTGTTTTGACGCTTACAAACGTCGGCATGTTTGGGCTGAAGCATATGACGTCGCTATCACTTGACCTAACAGCAATTCTAAATGGTTCCTCCTAGGCGCGCCTGGGGGGCTCAGTTGATTAAGTGTCCAACTTCAGCTCAGGTCACGATCTCACGGTAAGTTCGAGCCCCGCGTCGGGCTCTGTGCTGACAGCTCAGAGCCTGGAGCCTGCTTCGGATTCTGTGTCTCCCTCTCTGCCTCTACCCCACTTACACTCTCTCTCAAAAATAAACATTAAAAAAAATTAAATAGTTCATGCTAATACTGTAATTTCACCCCTTCCCCCCACTCTTACAGAGTAAACTGAAACACTGAGAGACTCAAGCACCTTAACACAAAGTTGGGTAGCTGACTGCATGGTCAGTTCTAGAATCCACGGTATACTTCAGGGCTACTCCCAGGGCCCCTGGTCTGGCCAAATTTGCCTGGCTAACCCCTTCCTCTTCGAGACAGTTCTTTCCTTAGGACACCCTGTGTATGTTCCTTTATCATCACGGCTGCTATCAGACTGTCTTGTAACTGCTAACTTGTCTGTATCCTTTTTGGCACTTTGAGCTCCTGGAACACAAGAACCTGAGCACAGTTAGTCTTTACTCTCCTGGTATCTAGATTTGTGCCTGACACATAGCACGTAATTTGTACTCATTGAGTGAACGAATGAAACAAATGAGTAAAAATGAACCCGGAAGAGGAACAAAAGCCTGGTTACGAAGAAGTCCAGAACTAGAATAAACGTGAAAGAGATGGAATAAGGCCCGACTGGCAATCCCTAATCATGTTCTTGCTCAGAATGGAAGAGGGCTTACTCCTTGGCAGGGGAAGGTACATGACGAGTAGTAATGAAGGGGGTCTCACCACGGCAGGCGTGCTGACGGCTCATGGCACAGAGGGCCTGGCAGAGGGCGGCACAGGGAAGACGCAGCAGCAGCCAGCTCAGTGAATCGAGAGCCACAGTGACAGGACCAGGGTCCGTCCTCTCGCACATGGCCTGCAAGGCTCCCAGGGGTCCCCCCGGAAGGGCTTCCCCAGTCTGTGCCCAGTTGAGCGGGTCTCTGAAGAGGTCATAGTAAACCAGCCTGCAAAGGGAAAACAGGAGACAACTTATTAACCCTGCCCCTTCCCCTCAATCTTGAACTTCACCCTGTGATCTCTGTGGCTCTCTGTGACTTAGAGCTAAAACTGAGACACAGACTACCATGTGGGCAGCACAGGCTTTGGTGTCAGAAAGCCCTGAGCTCTAAGCGTGGCTTTACTACCTACCCAAGGTCACCTAACTGATAAACTACTTATCCTGAAACTGTTTCTTCATTTGTAGAACAAATGCACAGATACCAACTGTTTGATCTTTAGAACGATCCTTAACACGTATTAAATGCTTGACAAACGTTAGTTATCATCACCATCAAACATTTCCCGAGCGGAGCCTAACTCGTGTCATTCCCTGGAGGAACAGGGAGAGGACAGGATGTGAGACATGGTTCCTGCCTGTAGGACAGTTTAGAGAAGATCAAGAATTAGATCCTGTCTTACTAACTATAGATGAAACAGCACCACAGAAAAAAGGAGTCTGACGTGGGTTAGAAATCCTGGGATCGGATTCACGGTGGCCCAACTTGTTCCTGGACACCACCGTCCTATCTGTTGCTTCTCTTGTTAAGTGCCACCTTAACATGAAACATCACTTCCATCACATGGTTGAAAAACCAGAGCTGAACACAGATGTAAGCTACTGAGCTGTCTAGACCGGGAAGTAATCTTTTTTATCCAGGCACACAGGTGGGTTCAGGAGTCTCCTAAGGTCTATTTCACATCAGTCTATAACTCCTGGAAATTCTACCTGCTAGAGTCCTTCGACTTTCCTCTTAAACTCTCTATGCTTACTTACTGCTACTGTCTTAAGCCAGATCTGTCATCCCCTATCATCTTTCCCTAAGATGCATTAGAGACCACACCCGTCTCATTCACCACGCCTACCACAGCGCCCGGTTCGTAACTGGTGCTCAGTACACATACACCCCTGAGCGAACCTGGACTACCACAGCAGCCTTCCCTCCCGGTCTGTCTGAGGCTGCCCCCTTCTAATCCATTCTCCACACTGGTCACTGGAGTAGTCTACCAGTATGAGATTATCACTCGCCTCTTACACGTTGAAAGGGCCGTCACTGCCTTTGGGATAACAACTGAACTCATTTTCACGCTGAGACCTTTTGCTATCGGTCTGGTCTCAGGAAGCTCTTCCACCTCCCATGAACAGCTATGCCTTCCCATACGTCCCTAATTTTGCACAGTCTGTTACTTTCGCCTCTAGAACAAATCGCTCAGTAGCTGGCAGCTAGTGTTGGTGCAAATCTGGAATCCACGTCTGGAATAACCATCCCCGGATTCTGAATACCTCAAAAGACAGAATATGTTCATTTTTATCCACCAGTACAGCTTCTGGTGCGAAACTACAGCGTCGGCCTCTTATTACGCTCCCTTTCCGTCTGCGCTTCTATGGCCCATGCTCTGGGTTCTCCATTAACTCGCCACTCCTCATTTCTCTTACGAATCTTGGCCTCCCGAAAGACACATATCCATTCCTTCAATGAATATGCCGTAGAGCAATTTCCTTACAGGGATCCCACACCCAACAAACTCTCTCCCAATCTGTGCTTACCGGCTGTTGATACTGGAGTCAAAACCTGCACGAAACTCTTCCTCGCTCACTTCACAGCCCAGGATGTGGACCTGCTCCCCACTAAGGCAGAGATGAAGGAGAGTGTCACAGAGCTGGGCCCAGCCTTCCTTCGCGGGGACTTTGGGGGGAAGGCTGCGGGATACTCACCCCAGCGCAGCTTTCTTGATAAGCGCCTTCAAGAGACTGCGCCCCTCCCACTCCACGGAGTCTGGGGAGAGCGAGGGACGGATAACCAGCGTGAGAACGCTGACGTTTCCGTCCTCACCGACCCCGGGGGACCACCCCTCGCCGGTGACACGCGGCTCTTCCTCTCCGCTGCCGCCCCTCGAGCCCAGCTCGCAACCCCCGGCGCCTCTGGCCCTCACCCCGCAGCAGCACCAGGCCGCGCAGAGCCAGCACCGACTCCATCTCCAA